ATCGAGTACGTATTATGTAGCTGTACAGTGTCACCCTGTAGCCGAAGGGACGGAGACATCACATTCGCTGTTTATGCCGATACCTTGATTCTGAGTAGAGAAATTATCACTGTTGTATTATTTGCTTTGTGTAGTGCCATATTACTGGGTGTTGCCTGTTTGAAGAAGTTATGCATTTATCATGCGTATGCAATGTAATATCTGATCATTGAAACAATTGTAGCATGCCGCTGAGTGGGTGTGATACAGTTAAGGTCCATTACATCAGCCGCTTGGAGATTTGTCTGCTTGAGACGCACCGCGCCTGATCACCTTCCATTCCAGATCGCTTTAAAAAGCTGCATAACAGGAACTATCCTCAACGACAGACTGGCTCTTTCTTACATGTTCTTTGAATGCAGGTGCCAATCCGCGTTCACCACTAACACATTTCTCACCTGAAGTTGTTTTGACCCGTCTCTAAGAATGTAACTTTTAGCAACCATTGCACGGCCAGCTGCACTATTACATCTATTAATTTGATGTTTTTTCAGTCTGAACGTCCATTCCTCATGCTCACATTTTCTTTTAACTAAATTCAGTTCCAGCTCTGAACCAGGGGCAGCCGCAGCCGAAATCTTTTACAATTTTTATTTTAATTTCTTTCCTACTGTTTGTTTACACTGTTTTGTTTGCTCATCTCGTACGCTCTATAATTTGGCCATTTTAATTAATTATTTGGTTATTAGAGTATTTTGTGGTCGTACTGAAACGCAATAACAAAACACTTCTATTACTTCTTCTGTCACATTTTGTATCACAATTTTTAATAAGCTGCATTTGGGCTTTATTTCAGTATTGCTTATTGTTTTGAGTATTGTAGCTGATGATTTCTGTTCCTGAAACGGAAACGTTGGAGTAAAATAAAACCTTATTGATAAATACTATGGCGTTTCAGAGCAGTGGATAAAGGAAATTGTATTAATTGTAGCATTTAGATTTTATTTACATGCGTATTTCTGTGCTTGTCAAGTCATAAACTTGGGTTTTATCGATAACCGTTAAACGGAGAACATTCATATTCTTATTCCTTATGTTCATATTTTTATGTTTGTTTTCGATTTTGAAAAGATTTTTCGTTTGTGCCCATATTCTTATGAACTCTCCTTCGTAATATCTGATCTGTAAACTTTTAAGCGACCAGATTCGAGTGATCGTCAAAGGATTTTACAGCTTCGACACGGACGTTAGCAAATTTAAAGATCATCTGCGAGATTTCTTGGTTCAGATTAAGGTAGGCAAAGTACTTTGAAAATTCATAGTTTTTTTTTGAAGTATGCTAATTGAAATATGATCCCGCGTTTATAGCTTAAGCCTTTTATAGCTGTATGGATAAAAATAATTTAAAGTACCTTATGAAAGATTTTGAATGTTTTACGATCATATACGCAAGAAAACACAAAAGTGAAGTGACGATGATGTATAATTTGCCATTGAGATGGTGACGACATACATGCACAAGTTTTGGACAGATTCACCGTCAGATTTCTAGGTGTTAATCGTCCAAGTGACACGATATATTCTTCAAAAATCGTTTTCTACTGACAGTTTTTTCTTGAGGGGGGGGGATATTATTACTCTGACCTCTAAATTTGTCAATCAGGGTTTGTG